TTTCGGATTGAACTCACTACTTCGTCGTGACGTATGCGGGATTTTAGCCATTTTTCGAAAGAATGAGCACTTACATATTTGGAACGCTTGGATTGTCGACGTTCGAAGAATTGAGCGTAACTTTTGAATACAGCGTCCGTTTTGGGCCCATAAGTACTTTTTTGTAATGTGGCGACCGTTTTGGATTGAACTCACCACTTTGTCATGACGTACGAGGGATTTCGCCCATTTTCAAAAGAATGAGCACTTGCATATTTGGAATGCTTTGATTGTCGACGTCCGAAGAATTGAGCGTAACTTTTGCATACGGCATCCGTTTTGGGCCCGTAAGTACTTTTCGAAAATGTAGCGACCGTTTTGGATTGAACTGACCACTTTGTCATGACGTATGAGGGATTTTGGCCATTTTTTAAACAACGAGCACTTGCACATTTCGATTGGCGGCGTTCGAAGAATTGAATGTAACTTTTGCATACGGCGTCCGTTTTGGGCCCATAAGTACTTTTCGGAAATGTAGTAACCGTTTTGGATTGAACTCACCTCTTCATCGTGACGTATGAGGGATTTCGCCCATTTTTCGAAAGAATGAGCACTTGCATATTTGTGATGCTTGGATTGTCGGCGTTCGAAGAATTGAGCGTAACTTTTGCATACGACGTCCGTTTTGGGCCCATAAGTACTTTTCGAAAATGTACCGACCGTTTCGGATTGAACTCACTACTTCGTCGTGACGTATGCGAGATTTCAGCCATTTTTCGAATGAATGAGCACTTACATATTTGGAATGCTTGGATTGTCGACGTTCGAAGAATTGAGCGTAACTTTTGCATATGGCGTCCGTTTTGGGCCCATAAGTACTTTTCTGAAATGTGGCGACCATTTTGGATTGAACTCACCACTTCGTCATGACGTACGAGGGATTTTTCCCATTTTCGAAAGAATGAGCACTTGCATATTTGGAATGCTTTGATTGTTGACGTTCGAAGAATTGAGCGTAACTTTTGCATACGGCGTCCGTTTTGGGCCCGTAAGTACTTTTCGAAAATGTAGCGACTGTTTTGCATTGAACTCACTACTTCGTCGTGACGTATGAGGGATTTTGGCAATTTTTCAAACAACGAGCACTTGCACATTTGGATTGTCGGCGTTCGAAGAATTGAACGTAACTTTTGCATACGGCGTCCGTTTTGGGCCCATAAGTACTTTTCGGAAATGTAGTGACCGTTTTGGATTGAACTCACCACTTCATCATGACGTATGAGGGATTCTGCCCATTTTCGAAAGAATGAGCACTTGCATATTTGTAACGCTTGGATTGTCGGCGTTCGAAGAATTGAGCGTAACTTTTGCATACGGTGTCCGTTTTGGGCCCATAAGTACTTTTCGAAAATGTACCGACCGTTTTGGATTGAACTCACTACTTCGTCGTGACGTATGCGGGATTTCAGCCATTTTTTGAAAGAATGAGCACTTACATATTTGGAACGCTTGGATTGTCGACGTTCGAAGAATTGAGCGTAACTTTTACATACAGCGTCCATTTTGGGCCCATAAGTACTTTTCTGAAATGTGGAGACCGTTTTGAATTGAACTCACCACTTTGTCATGACGTACGAGGGATTTTGCCCATTTTCGAAAGAATGAGTACTTGCATATTTGGAATGCTTTGATTGTCGACGTTCGAAAAATTGAGCGTAACTTTTGCATACGGCGTCCGTTTTGGGCCCGTAAGAACTTTTCGAAAATGTAGCGACCGTTTTGGATTGAACTCACCACTTCGTCGTGACGTATGAGGGATTTTGGCCATTTTTCAAACGAGCACTTGCACATTTGGATTGTCGGCATTCGAAGAATTGAACGTAACTTTAGAATACGGCGTCCGTTTTGGGCCCATAAGTACTTTTCGAAAATGTAGTAACCGTTTTGGACTGAACTCACCGCTTCATCGTAACCTATGAGGGATTTCGCCCATTTTTTGAAAGAATGAGCACTTGCATATTTGGAACGCTAGGATTGTCGGCATTAGAATTATTGGGCGTAACTTTTGCATGTGGCGTCCGTTTTGGGCCCATGAGAACTTTTTGGAAATGTAGAGACCGTTTTGGATGGAACATACCGCTTCATCGTGACGTATGAGGG